TGTTAATCAAGGTAATAGATTTCAGGATATAGATAACTGAGAACTGCCTGTCATATACAAACATCTGGAAATCCAGCAGAGCTCATGACCACACAATTACGACCCCCTAGAACCACACACATTCCTTGTATACTTTTTTTAAAGTAGCAAAAATGACTTTTTATTTTTTCTTTTTTAAAATAATTAACTCTTGTGCACACTAAAAAAAGACTTTTAAAAAATATAATCTTTGTCAAGAAATATGAAGAATCTGAGATTGTCTTGGAAAGGTTTGAGATTTTACCCTCCCTGCAAGCTAATGAGTTTGTCTGTCATCCTTTCATGGATGTTAGGAGAAGATATGACACCCCAGGGTCAGAGATGAAGGACTTTATTACTCACAGCACAGCAAGAGCATGAGCAGCACATTTGCCTCAGTTCCCTTTGTCTCTCAAGCCCAAAGGGGAGGCAGAAGGGCCCAGATGGATGTGTGCATGTGGTGGATTTGCATTACACCCGAAGAACCCTGAATTTTGGGGACCCAAATCTTTTATAACAGACAGTTAGCTTGCTTGTCCTTTGCCCTGGAGGGAGACCTTATCTTTATTGTTATACTTGAGGGGGTGCCGTCTTGTGAGGGCCTTCAGTCTGTGGCATCCCATGGTAGAAGGTAGAAGGGCAAGAGAGGGCTGGAGAGAAAGAGAGAGAGAGAGAGAGAGAGAGAGAGAGAGAGAGACAGACAGACAGACAGAGAGACAGAGAGACAGAGAGACAGAGAGAGAGAAAAGGGGTCCAAACTCACACTTTTATAACAAGCACACTCACACAATAATGGCATTAATCCATTCATGAGCACAGGGCCCTCCGGGCCTAGTCACCTCTCATTAGGCCCCACTTTCCAACACTGTTGATTGGGGATCAAATTTCCAGCACATGCTTTTTGGGGGACACAAGCAAACCATAGAGGGGCTATTGCAATATTCCAGTGAGATGAAATGATGGCTTGACCAGGGCAAGAGAAGTGGAGTGGAGAAAAGTGCACATATTCTGAATATATTTTAAAGGTAGACCTGTCAGGATTTGCTGATGGGTTGGATGAGGGGTTTGAGAGAATGAGAGAGTCAAGGATAATTCCAGATTCAGGACTTGAGAAACTCGAAGGATGGAGCGTCAGTTAATTGAAACGGGGAAGATTGTATGAGAAGCTGGTTTTGTGGGTGAGAGGGGGAGATAAGAAGTTTTGCTTTGGACATGTTGAGTTTGAGAAGGCTGTTAGATTTCCAAATGGAGTTTTATTCTTTTTATTTTTTCTGCATGCCATAGTAAACACTTATAATTTTCTTCAAAAAGGTTTTATCAGTCTCAGCAAGATACAGATGGCAACGTAAAAGAAAAGAGTTTAGTGAAGGGACATTTACAGACTGTGAGCAGAGCTGAGGAAGCCAACAAAGGTTGGTGAAGCCCCTGTGACCAGGAACAGAAGAGCCATGACCACCCTAGGCCTGAAGGCACAGAGGAGAGAGCAGTGACACTGTAGCCCTGAGATTCTGGATCATGGAAGAGAAGCCACCAGCAGGAGCATTAGATCACAGTTCTACCAGGGCCATGCTGATGCAGAAGGGAGCAAAGGACCAGGGCACCAGAACGTTCCCTCCAGAATTTCCTGGCCCTGGTATCTGTGCTTTCTAAGGACACTAGCAAGCACATGCTCCAGCTTTGTGCAGGTAACTGGCCTGGGGAGGGAGGCGGATATTAGGGAAAGCACAGGGAGGGTGACGGTGTATTTTAGGGGGAAATAAACGAGAGGACAGATCACAGATTGAATTACTCATTGGGGGAGATTGAAACTGTCTCTCCACCGACCTTCAGATTGGGTTGGACAGCCCCACACCAGCACAATCCCAGCTTCAGCTCCAGCTTCCAGCTCAGCCCCAGCCTGAACCTGAGCCCCAGCCCCAATTTCAGGCCTAACCTCAGGTCTAACTTCATCCCTAAATTCAAAAAGGTCCCCACTGCAGCTCCAGCCTAGCCCTACCCCATCCCACCCTCAACTCAGCCACGTGACTATTTCCAACCTCAGCCCCAAACTCAGTCCCCACCCAACACAAGCCTGCTCCACAATTTTAGCCTGAGACCCAATCTCATTTTCAGCCCCAAACACCAGACCTACTCCCCATCTCAATTCTAATGTAAAGCCCAACCCCATCCTAACCCTGGATGGACCCCCAAACCTGATCCATTTCTATCTCAGCTGCAAGCCCAGCCCCAGCCCTGCCCCTCTCTTGGCTCCCACAGACTCAAAGACCACCAGGGCCAAGGATATCAATGAAGTATGAAGACCTCAAGTGCTTGGAGAGTGAAAATGAGCATAAGTTTAGAAAAGGTAAGAAAGCAAGCAGAAGACCCCAGAGACAGGCCCACTCCCAAAGTTTGCATGACTCTCTACAGCATGAAGTCCAGGAATTCTGGTAGCAGGGTCTACAGCTGGTGCTGTTCTCAGAAACCGCACCTCTCCCTGTGTGTAATGAAGGGTTTCTGATGTCCTGCCTTCGCTGTGCTGTATCTCTCGGGGTCCTAGTTTTGGTCATTTCTGTGACTCTATTATGTACTATAGGGGTCCCTCTCTCTGAGGATTCAGGACCTAACCTCTGGTGGTCCCAGTCTGAAGGAGGATTGGGGTCCTCAGAGACACAGGGACAGAAAACAAGAAAAATGTCAGGCTATTTAGGAAGTCTTGAAAGGGAGGCCCATTTTCTAACCTGCTTTCATGTGTGAGTGTGAGCCTCCCAAGGGCCTGGCTGTCCCTGTTGTCCCCATGTCCTCCTGCCCCTCCCCAAGCCCTGATGACAGGAGCTCACCTAGCACCATGGTTCCCTGTGTATATACATGGGTCCCCAGGGATGTGAGAGACCCGTGTGACTGAGGACTTGCGCTGGTCCACCAGGGCAAAGGCTTGGGCCTCTCCCACCCTCCACCCTCCACCCTTCTCGTCCAGCCCAGCTGTCACCCCTGGACAGGTTCCTGGGCCCTGTCCTCTTCCTGTCTCTGGCATATCCTGGGCCCTGCCTGTCCTGACATCCTCTCCTCTTGCAGGGACACCTACTCCCCATTCCTTCCTGCAGTGTCTCTGCCCTGGGCCTGGCCTCCTCCTGCTGTTCCTGGGCCTCAGCCTCCTGCTGCTGGTCGTCATCTGTGTGGATGCCAGAGGAGGGTCATGGGGTGGGCAAGGAAGACAGAAAAAATGGGATGCAGTGGTCTGGCAGTGATGGTGAGGTATGGGGATAATAGTGGACAGTCCAGAGGGAAAGTCTTGAGGCAAGAAAGGAATCTTGCAAAAGTGTTGGGGTAACGGTGGGGCAGTTATGACAGAATGTTTGGGCACAGCGACGAGGGACATTTGGGGCAGCTGTGTGGCAACTGTGAGACACGAAGGCAGTGCTGGGCAGTGGCGGGGACGGTGATGGATCCACGATGGGGTACCGGGTGTTCTGGAGTCAGACACACTAGGGTCTTGAACCTTGGCTCTTTCTTATTGGTTGTGTAACATGGACAAATCACGTAACCTCTCTAAGCCTTAGTTTCGTCCTCTGTAACGTCAGGACTACAATAGTACCTGCCCCACAGGGTCGCCATGAGGACCCCATGAAACAATGCATGTGCAGTGCCTGCTTAGTGCTGGCACAGAGAGGACCCGATACATCTTAGCTCTGATGGTCCCCAACACATTCCCTACCTGATCGGGTCTCCCACATCAGAGGCACCTGTGGCCCTGAAAACTTTTCAGCCACTTCCCGTCAAGCAGCATGGCTGAGGTGCAGGCACCCGTTTTCCAGGGTGAGCGTGGCTTGCGTGGGGCCGTGCGCTGGGCTCAGATGAGGCTGGGTGGGAGCTGACTCTTGGGAACTGAGTCTCCCTGTCTTCCAGGTGGAAGCTTGCAAGAAAAGGTAACTGCTCTGGAAACCAAGGTACAGGAACATGCTCAGAACCTGTAAGCAGGTTAGAGACCCCCCAGGAGCATGGGTGGAAGTGTCTGGTGGGCTCTCAGGACAAAGGTGGGGGTGGCAGCAGCGTTGTGAGTGCTGAGCGCTCTCCCTTCCAGCCGGCAACGTGAGCTATGCACACGCTGCCGCTGTGGAGAACAAGCCGGAGAAACAGGAGCAGGAACTCAGGGCAGAGCCGAGACCACCCTGGGACGCTGTGCATGGAGGGCTTGAGAGCTCCCTGGCCAGGCCAGGGCACTGTGGAGGAATGAGGGTGTCTGACCTCCTGGGGTCCTCACCGTCCCGTCTGTGTGTGTCTGCAACACAGCTGACTGTGTTCCCGCAAGTCCAGAAGCTGGTGAATGACCTGCACATCCTGACCTGTAATGCAGCTGCCCTTGAGAGCCCCCATGGGCAGGGCACTGTGCCCCAGCCTGAATCCTGCCACGTCGGCCTACCCTGCAGGCCCCTCAGCCCCTGCCCCAGCCTTTGTACATCAGGCTCCACAGGAACTGGCTGGAGGTCAAAGACAGCTGCTACTGTCCGTCCCACTCTGAGACATCCTGGCCCGAGGCTGAGAAGTACTGCCAACTGGAGAACGCCCACCTGGTCGCCATCCACGTGATGTGGAGGCTAAAGTCACTCCGTCTTGAATGCTAACCCGCCATGTTGACTTCTGATTAACCCCAGTTCTGGGAATGCCATTAAGACTTCTACTTTATCTACTGTTCATTCTGTAAGAGCACGAGCTTACTGTAAATCCTGCCCTTAGGTCAAAACTGCCTTGATGTTATTGTGCAAATTACAGGATATGATGCACACAGCATTCTTGTCTTTTCCTGGAAGGTCAACTTTAATCGTCCTGCACATTCCTTACCAAGCACATATACCCTTTCCTACAATATATCAGTACCTGGGGGGTAATGGTGCCGCCCAAGACCAAGCTTCTGTCAGAAAGTTCCTCAATAAATAGCCTTTTGCCAAGAAACAGGAGTTGTCTGCCTCATTCTTTGGTTTCTCAGCTCCTTCTGCATTTGGTGGTCGCTTTGCACATACAGCCCTTGTATGAAACAAGGAGGAGAAGGTGAGAGCCCTGATGATGGGCCCCCAGCTCAAAATAGCCTAAGTCTGGGGGGACGGCTGGGGTGGGGAGGAGTCAAGATCATCCTTGTGCATCCTAGATGTGTGTCCAGACCTTCAAGGCGGCACAGAGCCTGGAGGGGATGGCTGAGACTGTGGGCAAACTTCAGGTGAGTGTGCCCCATCTCCCTGCAGCTTGCACTCTCTGCTCAGCTTTGCCCCTCTGCGTCTCGCCTTCACCCTTTATCCCTGACCTGAATCCTGCTCCATTGACCTGGCTCCTTGCCACCTCCGTGGTCCGCTTGTTTTAAATCTACTCATCCTTCAAATAAGCCAGGCACAGAAAGACAAATGCTGCATAATCTCATCTAAAAAAGTCAAACTGTACATAAAAAGTCCTGACTTTAAAAAAAATTTAAAAAAAAATGAAAATCATACCCATAGAAGCAGAGAGTAGAATGTTGTGGGGACGGGGACATGGGGAGATGTTGGACAAAGGGTATGAAGTTCCAGTTGGACAGGAAGAGTAAGTTTTGGAGATCTATTGCACAGCGTGGTGACCATAGTTAATAACAATTCAATATAAATTTCAAAATTGCTAAGAGAGCATCTTTTAAATGTTCGTACCACACACACACACAAAAGTAAGTGAGGTGATAGATATGTTAATTAGCTTGATTTAATCATTCCATAAATATTCATCTATCAAAACATCACATTGTACCCCATAAATATACATAATTATTATTTGGTAATTTTAAAAAGTAAAAAAAAAGTTAAAAATCTGCTCATCCTTCAGATCTCAGTTTAAACATCACTTGTTCAGGCTAGGCTTCCCTATTCCCCATAGAAAAAGGAAGTTCCTGCAGTTACAAGGCCTATAACTCTGCACTTTGGGGGGCTGTCATCCCCTGGCCATCACTGGTCAGGGACAGAGCCCAGCAGGGAGGGGCCACGGCTGCCCCTTCACCGATGTAGCCTCAGCTCCTGGCAGAGGGAAGGTTTCCCAGGGAGCAGACATGGTATTTCCCAGTCTCAGGGCTCACATATCTAAAATGGAATTTTACTTAGTTCCCTCTACCCGATCCTGGCAAGGCTCTGGACCACACGTTATCACTAACGACAGAAAATCACCTTGCCAATTCTGATTAAGCAGTCACTGCCAGATTTCCTGTCCTTTTTGGGCTTGGTTGATTCTGGATTCTCTCCCTTCCCCTTTCTCCTCCTGTCTGTCCCAAGGGTGATCTGTCTCAGTGGAATGGGGCCTTCTCCTCACAGGTCTCTATTTCCCCTCCATCTTCTTCTGCTGAACTGGACATACCCCTTCTGAGGATGCAGGATCTTTAGATGACTCTCCTGGTGCTCTCTGGGGTGATGGGAGGTTCAGAGCTTGCCTTCTGCTTCCTCTGCCCCCACACACTGGCTGTTATCTCTACCTTCTGTCAGTGGTGCCTGCTGGTGCCCTGGGGTCTTTTGCCATCCCTTCTCCTAAGAAGCAAAGCATAACCCCCTCTGCCCTATTAAACCCCAGCCCAATGTACATTCAATCATCCTTTTCCCCAGAAGTTTGACCCCATCAGTGGTTAGAGATCCCTTTTACAAGAACCACACCGATCGCTCACTCTTGCACTCTCCTTTCTCTTTCTAGTTCCCCTCCTTCCCCAGTGGACCCGCATCTCATTCATGTAGTGAGGCTAGCATTCCATCGCTGTCTCATCTCTGGACTCGGGTGTATGCAGTCAGCCCCATGATTTGCATCATAGAAACCTTGGCTGTGGATGCTGAAAGTCAAATTTTTGAAATTTCAAAAATCTTTTCTCTCCTCCATGGTATGACTCTTACAATCTAGAATCACCTTGGCTTTCACGGTGTTGCTTCTGTTATGGGTTTTGAAAATGCATGCAGAAATTCAATTGACTTCTTTTGTTTTAGTTTATGTTCATACCTACCCCTGCAATTTAGGGATGTGCCTGTGGAGAGCTGTCATTGATGCCTGAGTGATGAGGCGGGATAGTGATTACACAGAGGTTTGACTCTGGGGATAAAGAGGCCTCATTTGCTGCTCCAAATAGTATCTGCTGCATGCTTTTCATTTAATGTCTTTTTGTACTGCTTGGATTTCCTACTTGCATAAACTGTATTTTTTTAAATTCATGAACAACAAATAAATGGCATTGAAAAAAAATCTAATTAGGAATTTTTACCAACTCACACAAGCTCTCTAAGTTTGGAATGAATGAGTCAAGACAATGCTGTAATAGTCACCTCCACAGTGAAAACAAAATTAAACAATTCCAGCCTGTCTGGGCGAGGATGAGTGGGGCAGGTCACAGGCACCAGGAAGAGGGGTTGTCCCAGCTCTGAAAAGTTGAAATGCTTGGAGTGGGATTGGGTTAGATTAGGGTGTGCAACTGGTGACAGGTTCCGAATATTATGGAAATCAATATCCAGGAAGTGGGCAGGGGCTGGGAGGAAGCTCAATTAACCTGGCATAGCTGATGTGTCAGGAGGCTTGAAGATTGAACAAAAAAGTGATGTCTAAAAGCCATGTTTTCAAAAACTAAAACAACCACTACCCTGAATTTTCCTCTGTCTGGCAAGAATACATTTTAAAAGAAGACTGTTCTTTAATTTTAGGAAACTTCTCATGCTGGTTCTCTAATTATGTAAATGAACCCACTCTGTTAGTCAAAGTTATACAAGACCCTTTTCTGAAAAAGAACTTTGGTTAGAAGGAGAAAAAACTGCTCTTTGGTGATCATGGAAACTTTCCTAAGTTGCTTGTAATTGTGAACTAAAATAAAATCTTAAGCCAACCAGCTGACTAAATGGACCCCCTCTTGGCCAAGGGAACCCCAGTAATACCCTAAAACTAAGTTGCTGGCCACAAGAAGGGAGGTCAGACATGCCTCATCATGCCCCCTCCCTTCTTGGAGATATGCTTTGTAACTCATTAACAGGACTAAGGCTATATAAGACAATGTTTAAACCACACCTTCAGGTCATCCATTTACTTAACAGATCACTTGACTCTGCGTATATGTCTAGTATGTGTCTGATAGCTTGTCTCTGATTAACAGATTTCCTTATCTTAAAACATTCCAAACCATGAGACAAAGCTTCATTTCTTTAACCAATATCAAATCAAATAATCTTTAAACCCACCTATAACCTGTAATGCCCCACTTTGAGATGTCCTCCCTTTTTGGGCCAAAGCAATGTACACCTTCCATGTATTGATTTATGACTTTATGTGTAATTCCTGTCTCCCTGAAATGTATAAAACCGAACTGTAACCCAACCACGGGAAGACCACTTGCTCAAGTCTTCTTGGGTGTGGCTCTCCGGGTTATGGTCACACATATTCAGCTCAGAATAAATCTCTTTAAATTATTTTACAGAATTTGAGTTCTTTTCCATTGACATTGTGAAGACATGGAGTTTTAGGTAAGGAAAGGATGAGACCAAGGAAGGGATGTGTGAAACTTATTCCCTTGGACTGGTTTGAGCCTCTAGTAGGGTCCTATATTAGAAGGACTCTGACTACAAACTATAGAAAATCTCTGGGCCTAGGTAGTGGAAGAGACTATTCATTATACAAAGGTGTCTCACACAACCTCTTACAGGTTGAATTGTGTCCTTCAAAAGATGTGTTGAAGTTCTAATCCCCAGTGTCTCAGGATGTGACCTTACTTGGAAAGAGTGTCATTGTGGATGTAATAAATTAAGATTACATCATGTTACAGTAGGATGTGTCCTTAATCCAATATGACTGATGTCCTTATAAGAAGAGGAAAAGAGACACAGACACACAAGATGAGAAAGCCATGCAACCACAGAGGCAAACAGTGAAGTGCTGTAGTTGCAAGCTAAGGAATGCCAACGATTGCTGGGGAACCACCAGAAGCTGGAAGAGACAAGGAGGGGGTCACCCTTACAGGTTTCAGATGGAGCATGGCCCTGCCAACACCTTGATTTCAGACTTCTAGCTTCCAGAACTGTGAGACAATACATTTCTGTTGTTTTAAGCCACCTATTTCGTGGTACTTCATTAAGGCAGCCCCCAGAAACCAATACACAACCCTAGGGCAGGGAAGTGGCTGAAGTCCTGACATAGACCGGAAAGGGGAATTGGAACCCGGGGAGTCTCTTTTCTCTGTTTGTCACCTCCATTATTTCTTTCCCACTGCAGACCACTGGTCTCCGCCTCTGTGACAAACACTCTCCGTGGTCATTTCCCCCCTGCTTTGTTCAGGCCTGCAGGTTTGAGACAGCTATCCGTTCAGGATAACTCCTCCCCATGGCACTACCGAGGGCTAGAGTTATGATTGGTTGAAGCTGATTAGGGCACGCCCACTCCCTTTCGTCTGTGATTGGTTTAGGGGTACACATATGACTCAGTTCTGGCCAATAACACTCGAGGATCTGGAAGGCTTCTGTGAAAGATTTTCTTCTCTGATGAAAAAAGAGAGGCTGTGAGGGAGGAACCCTGCTTGTCACCTTCCTGCTGTGGGCGTTTCCCTGTGAGGGCAGGAGATGTGGAGCAGTGGCAGCTGTCTCATGACTATGAAGGAAAAGCCAAGAGTAAAGAGTCTGTTTAACTGTTGTAGCGGGTGAACCTCATGACCCCTTGGGGGAAGGCAGAGAGCCAGGCGTTTAGTTGTCCACTTAGTGGATCCAAAGCCAGCTTAATGCTCGGCACTGAGTAACGTGCCCTGTACATCCTGCCTCACATCTGGAATGAAAATATCTTACAGTTATCTTACAGTTAACCCACTTGCAGGTTTGGGAGAAAAGAACAACAAGGGTTAACAGAATCTGAGGAAAATGGATGAATCATTGGCTAGAAAGGAAGGCGAGTGCCTCTAGTAGTGCCCCTAGAATTCTTAGGCTTTGAAATGTCAGAATGAGTCATAACTGGTCATGTTTTTTAAGTGAAAAAGCAATCCCATTGTGTATTATTCATGGGGTGCATGATTACTTCACGAGGGTGGACAGGAACAGTGGATTGCTAGTTGATAGAATGGTTTCAAAATGGGAAAAGCAAACCACTAAATAAATCAGGAGAAGCAGTGGGCACCCCTCCTAACTCGGTCAGTTTACCCCAGGTTGATTTGCACGGTCTAAGAATGAGGGGGCAAGATACCTATTCCTTCCATACACCCAGGCATAGCCACTACCAGCTAAAACTAGCCAATTCAGAAGTTAACCCCAAAACTCTCCAGTTTCATAACTTGACCGTGGTGAACTGAAACTAGAAAAGGAGTAATTCTGTTCCAGAAGATCCCAAGGAACAGAATGGAATGTTTATATAAACCAGATTGCCTTTAACATCTACAGAAAAATTGTATAGATGGCAGTTGCAAAAAACTAAAAATGATTGTTTCCATATGTCAGCAAAACTGTTTGTTGAGCTGAAGTCCTCACTGGGTTCCGTTGATCCAGTAACTAGGACGTGACCGAATAGGAAGTGGCCTCATTTGCCACAACACTCTCCTGCCCTCTGACCATGCATGTTATTCCCAAGACCTTTGCCAGTTCACAACCTCCAATCAGAGCCGATATTTAGGCAGAGGCAGGTCTTCTCAATATAAGGGACTGGAATCATCCCACCTTTGCCTTCATTGCCCTCCTCATTCTAACACTTCTCTTCAGGCTTATCCCAGATTCTCAGGATGTCCCCTTTCTTAAAGGCAAGATCTTCCCCATCACTCTCATTAAAGGCAAGAAGAGGGGTTGGGTCACACATACTCTGCCTCCTCCTGCCTGAGAATCACCCTACTTCCCTGCCTGAACCTGGAAGCCGGTTCTATCAACATTGTAGTATCTAAATGGTGTGAGGATACTAGTTAGAATGTGACTGTAGTCATCCAGGCTGGGGAAGAGAGATACAAATTTATGTATTGCTGCTACATTGGTGCCCACTTCATGCCAGATATGATGCCAGGTTCTTCACACATAGTGTAGGTGTTTCTTCCTGCTCCTTGTGCGTATATGTCGTGGGGGAGGAAGGGGTTGGTGGTAGAAATCAGAAAGTACAAATCACATTAATAGTAACAAACAAACAAAAAAAATCCCATAAGCTTCCCAGGAATGGGCCCCTTCAGAGTAATCTTTGGTTTTCCAATCTCCCCAAGTCTCTTCAGGCACCAAGAGACAGTTCATAGATGGTTTTGTCAGCACTCTTGGTTTTCTATGCAACATTGACTCCAACTTTTTCCTCTTTCCTAACTGATCAAAACTGATATTTAGGAATTCACCCTACTCCATACAGATACGTACTTCAGGTGAGGCTCACTCTAGCCCAGTCCCAGAGGCAGGACCTGACGAACGTCAGTCAGTCGTCAGTCACAGTGGTCCCAGCCCCCTTGTCAGCGGCTGTCTCATCAAATACATGTGGTACGATTCTGGCAATGGGTGAAGGACGACCTGCTGGGGGCTGGAGGGGAAGATATCCTTACTGCTAAGCAGGACACACTGGAAGAGATGCGCTCCTTCTCCTCTGCACACTGTTATGCCCAGATGCTATATCTGAAACTGCGGCAGCCATGTTGCAACCTTAAGGGGAAAAAGCTAAAACTGAGGGCCATAGACTGAAACTATGGGAAGAACCTGATTCCTTCATGATGTTGTTGAGCCACTGATAAGCTAGTCTTGGAGTATTCCTACCTTTTA